CGTTCAACAGTTCTTTTTGTTGCTCCCGCGGAGAGATGGTACTTGTACGCTGCTCGGCGATGGAAGATGTGTCGCTTTTGGGTTCCTTTTCATTCGTCTTTTTTCGCGTGTAATCTTCGGTACCTATTTGATCCTGTAATTCGCTCAGCCTTCTGTGTAACGAGTTCTTGCGATGCGTGGTAACGAGGAAAGAGACGATGTGGAGGGGGTAAGTTGTAGGTGTGGTGGGGGAAGCGGCTACCGAGCAACATCGACTCAGGCTATAGCATAGACAAATAGCTGTATCTCCTCGAAAAATCATTTTATAAAGATTTTCTTTGAAATTTTGGCACGGTAGTAGTTAAGTCTAGATGTTACACGTCGCGGAACACGTTTCGCAGAGAGAAATTAGTGAGAGGAACAGTATTTAGTCACTCGTTTGTAAATTGGACGAGTCCGTATTAAATTCTGTCGAAATAAACCAAAGCTGTGATTCGAGCAAGATAAAAAGTAGCTTAACACACTGAGAAAATACGAGAGCATCCTCTAATTACGCGACATTTCAAACATCACGGTGCACTAGAACGCCAATATTCGTAAACAGCGAATATCACAGGATTTCATGTGACGCCGCCACTGTCCATTAGCGACAAACTCCCAGGACGCGAGAGATCGTTCCGTGGAATTTGCATACGGGTCTCTGGAGGATCCGTGAAACCGGAAGCCGGGCGTCGGGTGGGAGGAGCGGAAACGCGGGGCAGAATCGCAAGAGGAATTCGTCCACTTGTTTCTCTTTTTGTCGCCTGTGGAAATTAATAAAATTAGCTCGTCCAAATAAACGTCCCTCCCTCTCTGCACTCCTCTTGAGGGTCGGTGGTTGGATAACGAGCTTCCGGTTCGGCCGGCGAACGGTTGTACGACGGAAAAGGGAGAAAGAGAATCGCGTCCAGGGAGGAAAGATACACGCCGGTGAATTCGTAATTGTGTTTCCATTGAATTTACCGGCGATGAAGTAATTAAGCGGCGTTTCTTGCCAGCGGAAACGCGATTGCATGGCTGCTATCTACGGTCAGCCTGGCCGAATCGCGAATTGAGATATCCAGTCGGGGAGTGGTGACGACATTTCGTGGCCGGTTGCGGGCCGCGAAGAAAATTACGGATACTCCGCGGAGATTTAATAGAATTTTCGCGTTAATGAAGATCTGCGCGGATTAAATTCAGATGTTTGCGCTAGTTCCGCGCCGATCTACTTAGAAAGCGCGTGTTTTTTTCCAAGGAAATTTCCAAGCAGACCGGGTAAATGGTTTAGGCGGCGTTCTAGCGTCGGCTATAGCCTGCGTCGAATTAATCGGCTGCTCAAGGTCGCCGTGGAGCTACTTACTTTTTTCAATTTCAGAGTAGAGAATTTGTAATCTTCGCAAAAGAATAAATGTAATTTCCAACGAGACTAGAAAAATAGGAATTTTCTGTGAAACTACTCTGATCTCTGTCGTTTGATTAATCCTTTACACTCCAATGGCGCTGTTACGGCGACATGGTAATTACTTTGGGGAAGTTTGAAATGTAAAATTCAGGCTTTTTTGTATTATTAAATATTAAAAATCGTTTTCTTTTTTTAAACAAAATTTCGGGTTTTTGAAAGTTTCACTGCAAAGGTATTCCGGAGTTGTTGATTAATCTTATCAGAAAATGCTGAGAGTGTAAAGGGTTAAAGGTTATATTGCAAGAAACGCAATTTTACACACAGCACAGTGACTTCGCTAGCTCGAAATTTGAAAATTCGAAAATTACATTCTCTTTGAACTTGGAACAAATTGATCCATCGATTTTGGAATTGGATCAAAGTAAAAGTCATCCTGGTATACGTGCGTGTGTGTTGAATAATGGTACAAAAGCCCCGGGGGGGATGAAAAAAGGGCATTGACGTTGAAAGGCAGTATTAAACTAATTCCTATCGGTTGGGCGTATCCAAAG